CGATCCTTGCCTCCATTCTTTTTCCGAGGTCCTGGATCATCTTCACTCTCATTATTCTGAATTCTTTTTCTGGAAGGTTGCCTATCTCCACTTCATTTAGTTGTTTTTCTGGGGTTTTATCTTGTTTCTTCATCTGGTACATAGCTCTCTGCCTTTTCATCTTGTCTATCTTTCTGTGAATGTGGTTTTCGTTCCACATGCTGCAGGATTGCTTCTGCTGTCTGCCCTCTGGTGGATGAGGCTATCTAAGGGGCTTGAGCCAGTTTCCTGATGGGAGGGACTGGTGGTGGGTAGAGCTGGCTGTTGCTGTGGTGGGCAGAGCTCAGTAAAACTTTAATCTACTTGTCTGCTGATGGGTCAGGCTGGGTTCTCTCCCTGTTGGTTGTTTGGCCTGAGTCAACCCAGTACTGGAGCCTACCCGGCTCTTTGGTGGGGCTGATGGTGGACTCTGGGAGGGCTCACACCAAAGATTATTTCCTAGAATCTCTGTCACCAGTGTCCTTGTCCCCATGGTGAGACACAGCCACCCCCCACCTCTGCAGGAGACCCTCCAACACCAGCAGGTAAGTCTGGTTCAATCTCCGATGGGGTCATGGCTCCTTCCCCTGGGTCCCGGTGCACACACTACTTTGTGTGTGCCTTCCAAGAGTGGAGTCTCTGTTTCCCCCAGTCCTGTCGAAATCAAATTCTGCTAAGCTTCAAAGTCTGATTCTCTAGGAATTCCTCCTCCCGTTGCTGGACTCCCAGGTTGGGAAGCCTGACGTGGGGCTCAGAACCTTCACTCCAGTGGGTGGCCTTCTGTGGTATAAGTGTTTTCCAGTTTGTGAGTCACCCACCCAGCAGTTATGGGATTTGATTTTATTGTGATTGCACCCCTCCTACCATCTCACTGTGGCTTCTCCTTTGTCTTTGGATGTGGGGTATCTGTTTTGGTGAGTTCCAGTGTCTTCCTGTCAACGATTGTTCAGCGGTTAGCTGTGATTCTGGTGCTCTTGCAAGAGGGAGTGAGAGCACGTCCTTCTACTCCGCCATCTTGAACCAATGTCCCCTTATCACTGATTCTTAATCACTCTTTTCTGAGTGTACATTTCTCAATCCCATGTTGAGATGAGTGAAATATAACCCTTGCCAGTGGGCAGAGCTCAGTAAAACTTTAATCTACTTGTCTGCTGATGGGTCAGGCTGGGTTCTCTCCCTGTTGGTTGTTTGGCCTGAGTCAACCCAGTACTGGAGCCTACCCGGCTCTTTGGTGGGGCTGATGGTGGACTCTGGGAGGGCTCACACCAAAGATTATTTCCTAGAATCTCTGTCACCAGTGTCCTTGTCCCCATGGTGAGACACAGCCACCCCCCACCTCTGCAGGAGACCCTCCAACACCAGCAGGTAAGTCTGGTTCAATCTCCGATGGGGTCATGGCTCCTTCCCCTGGGTCCCGGTGCACACACTACTTTGTGTGTGCCTTCCAAGAGTGGAGTCTCTGTTTCCCCCAGTCCTGTCGAAATCAAATTCTGCTAAGCTTCAAAGTCTGATTCTCTAGGAATTCCTCCTCCCGTTGCTGGACTCCCAGGTTGGGAAGCCTGACGTGGGGCTCAGAACCTTCACTCCAGTGGGTGGCCTTCTGTGGTATAAGTGTTTTCCAGTTTGTGAGTCACCCACCCAGCAGTTATGGGATTTGATTTTATTGTGATTGCACCCCTCCTACCATCTCACTGTGGCTTCTCCTTTGTCTTTGGATGTGGGGGATCTGTTTTGGTGAGTTCCAGTGTCTTCCTGTCAACGATTGTTCAGCGGTTAGCTGTGATTCTGGTGCTCTTGCAAGAGGGAGTGAGAGCACGTCCTTCTACTCCGCCATCTTGAACCAATGTCCCCTTATCACTGATTCTTAATCACTCTTTTCTGAGTGTACATTTCTCAATCCCATGTTGAGATGAGTGAAATATAACCCTTGCCAGAGGAGTATCAGATCCTGGAGCTTGAGAAAATTGCCATGAGCTTTGTTTTTTAAAAGCTTAAGGCCCTGTTTCAATGATCTTTGAGAGATCAAATCTTTGGCTTCCTTTTAATCTAGTCATTAGATTGAAATTGAGTAAAGAGCATCACAGAACCATATGCAGAAACAGATTTCCATTTTTTCTAACTGGTCTAATTTCAGCTGAAAATTATTAAAGTACGGGATAAATGGGTCATGGTCAAGGATTCAGAACATTCCAATTGGTTTCTTGATCTCTAAAGCTCCAGCTCTGACATTGCTACTCACTGACGTTTTTCTGCCCCTCTTCTGCCTGGTCTAAGGAAGCAGCAGTCTTGGTGGAGGGAAAGGGCACATAAGGACCTTGCAGCCTGTCAGATCTCGCTATGCTTTTATGATCACTGTAAGCTGAGGCAAGTAGCTGAACATTTCTGAGCTTTCGTTCCTCATCTGTAAAATAAGTTTTATACAGTCATTCAATAGACTGAGTGTCTAATAGGCACTGTTGTGACAGCCACCATTTTGCTAAGCACTCATTATGTGCTTATAGAGTATTGCGTACGTTATCTGACTCAAGCCTCCAAACAACTCTGAAGAAATAATAATAATAATATAATCACAATAGTGGTTAACCCTTATTGAGCATACTCTATTTGCCAGTCACAGTGCTAAAAATTTTATGTAAATTAATTTAGACCTGATAATAATCCAGTGAGGACAGTGTTGCTTCCTGCATTTTCAGAGGTGAAACTGAGTTTCAGAGTGATGAAGTTGGTTGCCTTTTATGAGTCACACAACTCCTAAGAGGCTGCAGTAGGATTCAAATCCAGGCAGCTCACTCCAAAAGCCTGTGCTTTTAACCACATTGATATTCCATACAAATTTGTTATCATAAATACTGTTATATTTCTTAGGATAATAGTAGATTTAATAGAAACAGGTTGTGTTCTCTGGGATCTCACAGCTTGCAGGAAGAAAGTAATGGTGAGTGTCTAGAATTGCTTTATCCAATCACTGTATACAGTAGCTAGATAATGTTTTTTAAAAAGCTGGTATCACTTTTTACGTAGAGTTTCCCTTCAGGGGTGGAACAGGCTGGGATGAGCATCACCTTATGGGAGGCCCAGAGTAGAAAAACCTGAGGGATGTTGAGGAAGAGGTGTTCGTCTCATTCGTTACAGTTATCTTGTGTGATTCTGATGAAACCAAGAAGATTATATAAAACCTTATACCAGGCAGGCAGAAGAGAGACAGACAATCCATTCTGAGAGAGAAAACCCCCACAAAATATGGAAAACGCTATATGTACAAAAATGTTCATTAATACATTTTTTATAACTGCAAACAAAACAAAACAAAACAAAACTGGAAGCAACTTAAATCCCTAACTAATAGGGAAATGGTTGTCAACTATGGTCCATCGACTTTATGGGGTATTTTGCAGCTGTGTATTTATTTATTTTAATGTTTTGCTTTTGCAAAAGTTACACCTGCAGTACTTTGAAAAGAAGAAAATCATCTGTGATTTGACCACCCTGTGATAACCATGATTAAGGTTTGGTTTATTTCTTTCCAAGTTATGTTTATTTCACTTACAATGCAGTGGCCATTATTAGGAATAGTTACAAAGATAAGACAGCAAAATTTCTCAATGAATACTATAACAAGTAAATAAAAAAGGTTGTTTTTACAAATATGAGAATAAATAAATAGGTAGGAGAAAAGATTGGAAAGAGCTGGACTAACAACATTCTAATGGGAGTTATTGTAGGGTGTGGGCTTATGGGTGTTTTTTATTTTTGCTATTTTCTTCATTGTGTTATGGGTCAACAGTGCACACTCTCAAGAGCTCTTGGGTGTTAAATTAGTAAAATCTATACTTAATGAATAAGGTCAGACTTAGGCAGATGTCACCTCTAAATCCTTGCTTCTCAAAGTGTGATTCTCAAACTAGCAACATGAGCATCACCTGGTAGTTTATTAGAAATATAGTCCCCAGCCCAGACCAACTGTTAGAATATGAGTTTGACAAAATCCCCAGGGGATCCTTATTGACATTAAAGTTTGACATGCATTGCTCTAAATGACAGGCTTTCTCATTTGGGGAAGAGCAGAGTTTGATGATAGCTTAACCAAAGTATTAATAAATCTAAACATAATGTGCTAATAGGAGAGGGTTGATTGGAACTTTGGCAAATGGAAGTGGGGCAGAGTTTGAAAATTTATCTGACACTGTTGTGGGGTTAGAGAGTCAACTTGGGGACCCCGGCTAGAGTCACTAGGGAGCTGAGACTTCATGTAGATTACCAAGTGCTCACCTGGCTCTTCAGGGTATGAGTGAGCTGTCCCTGTAGCTTCCCCACTGCCCTTTCTTTGGCTCTGTCTTCCCAGGTACCTCTTGACTATCCTTTGGTTTTCCTTCTAGCTTTCCTTCAGAAAGAAATGGTCCTTGTCATGTGTCTAAGAGAGATCTAGTCTTTTGGAGAGTTCTGTACTTATTAAAATATAAATAATTGCCATCTCTTAATGCATGAGTATCCAGTCTGTGGATTTATTTCTAATAACTAATATTACAGCAGCATCATTGTGAATTTGTAAATCTGGCAAGTTTTTGGTTTATAAATGTCCATGTAACAGAGACTGATAAATTTTAAGGGATTGCTAATAAAATTACCAATAAAATTCTAGAGGGTTAAAACCACCTAGAGATGCTTTTACCTGGAGGACCTGTCTGGGTGGCCAGGAACCTCCTTAGGGGAATGTAGATGTCTCTCTTGGAAACCACATTAACTTTTGTAATTGATTTTTTTTAATTGAAATAAAAAAGGATACCAAATGGGAAGGAAAGTATCCTAGAGTTTTGTTATTCAAGGAATCCTAACTTATTTGGCCCATTGTAGCCCAAAGAGTACTTCTCAATTATTGATTTTTCCCTTCTTCAGTGTTAGTTTTCGAAAGTATTTTAGGAACATTGAACTTTGTGTTTCTGTGACACCTCAGAAGTTAATGTGGCTCAATGTTTTCCTTTTAGAATGAGATCTTTTTTTCTAACATTTTACATGGTGTCCTCAGAGAAGATCACGCCCTGGTATCTAGAGCTGTCTCCATGAAGGTGGAAAATTTCACAGAAACCAATGAAATAAACGAGCTCTTTGACCTATTTACTTACAACAAGGTAAAATCAGTTACACATTTACATTTGTTCTGCACTCTTGGAGAAAGCTACATAAAATGGATTCTAAGGGTCCTAGACTAATGTGCTACTACACAACTTTGGTACAGAAACCTTAATATTATTCAGTAGATGGATTTCAGAAAATGTGGTTAAATCATTTCTTATCTAGTAAATGTTAATCAACTACAATAGGTGCTCAGTATCATCTACCTTTATTAATATAGACTTAGCTTGCTACTTTTAAGGTGAACCCTTCTGCTTGGTAGAAATTTGTTCTTGTATCGACTGAAAGAACACACAACATAAAAGTTGTGAGTTAAGTTTTATTCAGGAATGTTACTGGGGACTATAGCCCAGGAGACAGCCTCTCAGAGTGCTCTGAGAAACTACTCCAAAGTGGTAAGGGAGGGGCCAGGATATATCTGAACTTTTTTTGCTGGGAAAAACATGCAGTCAAGCATAAAACGATTACTGCTAATCACAAGGAACAGACATCTCAAGTTAATAATTTTAGTGCTTTTCTGTATATGGAAAAATGTAAGAATCTGGGGTCATTGAAATTTTTCCTTACATATGCATCTTAAGTATCTAGGGGCCAGGATATTCAAAGCACAGAATGCTTCCTGGTTTTCTCCATCCTGAATTCCCTCCAGGGTGCACTCTCAGTGGGCATCTGCAGTGGCTAATGGCTGATCCTTGTAGAACTGGAATGGCAGGCAACATTTTTTTCTTTACACTTGCCGTATGAGTATCTCGGTTTAAAAACTACTGCACCCTGAACTCTTTATATGTAGGACATTTTCTCATCTTTTACCTATTAATTAGTGACAGTCTCCTATTTTATTAGCACATTTGGGGATAACTCAGACATTCAACTAAAGTGCGCAATGCAATCAGCACAGCTCAGAATCTTGCTTATCAGAATGGAATGCATCAATATTTAGATACCGAATTTTGTTTAAATAATGGACAGCTTCTTATGTCTTAGGGAGCGTCTCTGGCCCGGATGCTTTCTAGTTTCTTGAATGAGAAAATATTTATCAGCGCACTTAAGGTGAGTTTACAAAATTGTTGTTACCTGGAAAACAGTAAACATAAATTGCTTTGGCATGTTATTTATCTTAACCTTAACTTTTCTATTTTGACAGTCATATTTGGAGACATTTTCTTACTCAAATGCTGAGCAAGATGATCTATGGAGGCATTTTCAAATGGTAATTCTCTCACTTCCTGCCATGTTTTTGCTGAGTTGTTTTGTAAGATCGGGAGGCCATGTGTGTATGGTGATGACACAGGAAAACCATCTTTCCTTGTTTGTGACACTCCTTTAAGTCAGGGGTTGCTTCTTTAGTCTTCACCACTATATTCCCAATGCCCAGAAGAGAGCCTGCATATGTTAGATCCATAAAAAATGTGGTCAGTGAATGAATGAATGAGTGAACGAATGCACTAAGGAACCATTCATATATAGAGAGTTGAACAGAATTAAATTTGGTCCAGAATATCACCCACTGGGAATTATTGTACTATATGAATGAGGAAAAGAATAGCTATGTAGTTTCTTTTAGGAGATTGCTACCTCAAAAGATTTTGATGATAAATATCTGCTTTTGTGATGATTTTTTTAAAACAGGCCATAGATGACCAGAGTAAAATTCTTTTGCCAGCAACGGTGAAAAGCATCATGGACAGTTGGACACACCAGAGTGGTTTTCCAGTTATCACCTTAAATGTATCTACTGGAGTCATGAAACAGGAGCCATTTTATCTTGGAAAGGTTAAAAATCAGACCCTTCTAACCCACAAGTAGGTAGATTTACTCCTCTGTCTTCACCTTCCTTGGGATTGAGCTGTGATCAAATGGAAACCAGCCTGTGGGTGAGGAAGCATAACCCCTACTGGATGCACACCCTTCCATGGGGTGATTCTGGGATGGTGACTGAGTGTTCCGTGCAGGATGTTGCTGACGTGCTAGGATGGGGCAGAGCCCCTCATGTGCTGAGCAAGGCCAGAAACCTGCATTTAGGGATTCAAGCAGTGCCCCTCCCCTGGGATATAGGGCCACACACATGACCAAAGCTTTGGGTGTTATTCATTCTCTTCTGTCCTTTAGACAGAGGTCATGAATTAGTCGGAATTCTGTGTGAAAGGCAGTAAAATAGAGCCTGAAATGCCTCCTGTTAGTTAAGAAGAAAGGGGATCCTGTTGCAATGTTGTCTTCCCTTCCCTAAAACAGAACTGAATGGTGACCGAATCCTTGAGGAATATTTCTGTGCATGTCTGCCCATGCACTTATCTGTGCTTTTGTAGCCATACCTAAAATGTTAGAATTATAGATCCCAAATTCAAACCTTAGGTAAGTCTTATTCAAAATCTCTGAGTTTCAGTTGCCTTATCTATAAAGTAAATGTAATAACATATATCCCAGGGGATTGTTGTAGAAGTGAAATGGAATAATAAGTATAAAGTGGCTTAGCATTCATCATTTTCTCCTTCCCTTTCCTTCTCTTTCTTGTTAGATAATTTTCAACTGTTTTTTTAAAAATAAATTTATATATTTTTGGCTGCGCTGGGTCTTCGTTGCTGCATGCGGGCTTTCTCTAGTTGTGGTGAGAGGGGGCTACTCTTTGTTGCAGTACGCATACTTCTCATTGCGGTGGCTTCTCTTGTTGCAGAGCACAGGCTCTAGGCTCGTGGGCTTCAGTAGTTGTGGCATGTGGGCTCTGTAGCTGTGGCTCACAGGCTCTAGAGTGTAGGTTCAGTAGTTGTGGCGCACAGCTTAGTTGTTCCACGGCATGTGGGATCTTCCTGGACCAGGGCTCAAACCCATGTCCCCTGCATTGGCGGGTGGATTCTTAACCACTGCACCACCAGGGAAGCCCTTCCAGCTGTTTTGATAAACGTTTTGATCCTCAGATCTCATTATATTAAGTATCAGCACAAATGAGTAATTAATTTTCATATATCACCACCAAAATTTTCAAGTTGTCCTACTCTTTCTTTAAAACCCCAGGGGCGGGAACAAGAGACCTGCAGGTCCCTTCTCCCTATGATATTTCATGACTTGTGAGAAGAGGTGGCCTTAGCTATCACATAAACAGAGACCCTCAGTTCAAAGTCTGAGAAACCAGACTTGTGAGCGTTTGAGCAAGATTGGAAATAATTGCCCAAATTCCAAGTAGTGTGTCTCTTCAGATGACTAGTGTCCTCCCTGTGGTCAGCGACTTCATCCAGGTCATGTCCACCAATGTGGGAAGAATGCCAGCATTCAGGTAATATGAGTAATCTGGCTGATTTTTGTTGAACACTTTTCAGACAAGGAGAAAGCTTGAGGTGGAGAAGCATTTTGAAATGTTTGTCAAACTTTTTCTTCTTAACTGGTTTTCTCTTGGCACAGATGGCTTTGAGTCTGCCTGTAGCATTTGAATGACCCCTGAGTAAGGCCAGGTGGCTGTAATTTAATATAAACAGGCCTTGAAAATTTCAGATACAGGAGAGTCTTAGTAGCTACCTTAAGTTATAAAAAGAAGCAAATCTATAAGACACAACAAGAGAGTAAACAAATAGCCAAAGCAAAACTGACTTGTGAAACAACAGTGAATAATTCTAAGAGCAAAGTCCTACATATCCGCAGGGAATGACCAAAGAATTTGAGTTCAGTTATTTTATCATCTTATTTAATATTGGCTCAGAGCTGATATTCTTATGTGTGAACATTAACTGAATTTTTCATTTTTTTCCAAAAAGTGACACATGGATTGTACCTATTCTTTGGATAAAAAATGGAACTACACAGTCTTTAGTCTGGCTAGATAAAAGCAGCAGTAAGTAACAAATTTTTAAAAATATCTTCACATATATATGCAAATATATATATGTGTATGTATATATATATATGTGTGTAAACATATATATATGTATGTATGTATATATATATATATATATATATATATATATATATATAAAAAGGCAGAGACTAGAATGTTGA